ATATCAGTTGTTTTTTGTCACGTGCACATTTCAGGATCTTTTCCTTATGTTCGATTGAAGAGAGCTTGATGATCATGTGTTGTGGTGAAGATCGCTTTTGATCAGGCCTGTTGGGAGTTCTGTGTCCCTCCTGGATCTTGTTTCCCACGTCTTTCTCTAGATTTGGGAAATTTTCCCTTATTACTTCATTCAATATATCTGTAAAACCAGTTTCTCTTTCTGCACCTTCGGGGACTCCCATAACTCTTATATTTGGCCTCTTGATAGTGTCTTTCAATTCTTGGATACTTTTTTTTGGCCTGATCCATCTCTGCTTCCAGCTTTTTGTTTGCTTCCTCCTGATGACAGGAGATATGTTACAATTCTGAGATTCTTTCTTCTGTCTCCTTCATTCTGTTTTGGAGACTCTCCACTGTACTTTTAATTTGCTCTACTGTGTTCTTAATTTCTGATATATCAGGCTTGATTTGCTTTATTGCTGCAGCTGTTTGTGTAAACTATTCCTTAAATTCTTTGAACTTTTTTATGTGCTTCTCATTGTTGATCAGAAGCTTTATAATGAGTTTTCTGAATTCTGTGTCCCCCGTTTTCTCAATGTCTTCCTCAGTTAACTCTGAGGTTGCCATAGGGTTTTGCTCCTTTGCAGGGGAGTTTTCAGTAATATTCATTGTGCCTTTGTCTCTTTTTTTGCTCTTGGTCATTGTACTTTTGGTTAGCAGAGTCTTCTCCTTGGGGCAGGTTTCTAAGCTGTGTCTCCCACAGGTCTACAGTTCAGTTTACTTATTGCAGTTTGTACACAACTCTTTGCTTGCAGCCACTTGTGCCGCTCCCTCCAGCGAGTTCCAGGTCTGGGTTCTTATGTTAGATTTCCACAAAGAACTCCATAGCCCCAACTCCTGGCTCACCACTCTCCACCTCCTGTGATACCGTGCTGAGGCTGCACCGTTGTCTCTGCAGCCTTTCTCCCACTTTCGGTTGGAGCAGATCCCAGGATTAGGGAGACGCCAGGTGTCCTATATAATTAGGTTGTTGGTGGCGCTGATCTAGCTGGAACCTGTTGGATGTTACGTCTGGGTGCCACATGGACCTATTTTGACCCGTACGATGGCCATAGTCGGTATTATTTTTCTGTGGGACCAGTGCAATCCACTGAAGTCAGAGAGTTCTTGTGAACTCAGCACATGCACAGTTCACTGTTGTCCCTGCAGTCCTAATCTTTTGCCACATTGTACAAAATGGCACCTGACATACCACTACTAGAGTTCTTGATCAGCTGGCTGTCAGGTCTGAGAGCTACCCAGACCTGTCTTGGCTGGAACCTGTAGAATGCTGCATTGCTGCAGTTCACTGAGCCACAAATGAGTCCACTCCCAGCCCAGCTCAGTGTGTAGTCCTGCCCCTTGCCTTTGCCTCCTTATGCAAAATGGCGCCCAGTTCAGCTCTAGGGGGCTGGCTGGGCTGTGAAATCCACCCTGTTCCCACACTGCCCATCTGGGACATGCTGCTCTGTCTCTGCTCCTGGTCAAATCAAGCAGACCAGCAGGACGGGCAGTTGTTTGTCTGGTTCACCTCCTGAGCTCCCAGTGAAAGTCCCTTCCCACCTGGTTGCTGGTGGAGTTCAGATTGCCATTACCTGAATGCCACTGGAGTATCAGTCACTGCAACACCACAGCGTTTTGTCTGCTGCTTTCCTGTGTCTGTCAGTCTCTAGGTGCCCCTCTGCTGTTGTTCTGTTCTCTCCTATTTCCTGGAATGTGTCCTCTCTGCTTCATCCTGATTAAATATTTCTCCGTTTAAACTTGTCCTTACATTATTCTATCGTCTTGATGCTACAGGTGGTCTGTCTATCTGTCTATCCGTCTGTCTGTCTGTCTTTCTGTCTGTCTTCCTTCCTCCCTTCCTTCCTTTCTTCCTTCCTTTCTTTTTCTTCTTTTCAAAAATTTTATTTTTTATTGCAAAGTCAGATACACGGAGAGTAGAGACCGAGAGGAAGATCTTCCGTCCCATGATTCACCCCCCAAGTGACCGCAATGGCTGGAGCTGAGCCAATCTGAAGCCAGGAGCTCTTCCAGGTCTCCCACGCGGGTGCAGGGTCCCAAGGCTTTGGGCCATCCTCTACTGCTTTCCCAGGTCACAAGCAGGGAGCTGGATGGGAAGTGGGGCCACCAAGATTAGAACAAGCGAGCGCCCACATGGGATCTTCTGGTGCCTTCAAGGCAAGGACTTTAGCCACTAATCCACTGCGCTGTGCCCTTGGGTTGTTTTTCTTAAGAGGCAGAGAAAGCTGTCACTTATTAACCCACTTCCCCAGCTCTTGCAGTGGCCAGGACTGGGCCTAGGCTGAAACCAGGAGTCTGGAGTTCAGTCCACTTTGGCCGTTAGAGCAGAGCCCCAGTGTCTCGGACCCTCATTTGCTTCCTCCCAGGGCTCCACCAGCAGGGAACTAAAATAAGCAGCCGGAGCCATGAATCGCACTCAGACGGGCTCTGTGGTGTGGCTGCCTTTCCCTCCGCCCCAAGCCTTACTTATTTAAAAGGCAGAATTACGGAGGGCCAGGAGGAGGAGAAAGGAGAGAGAAGAGCCGAGAGCCCCAGGGAGCGAGCAGTGTCTCCCGTGTGCTGGTCCATTTTTCAGTTGTCCTCACAGCCAGGGCTGAGCTGGGCTGAAGCCAGGGAGGTAAACCTGAAGCGGCTGGGACTCGAACCAGCGTTCACGTGGGATGCCGGCATTGCAGGCAGCGTCCTCACTTGCCAGCCCAGACACGAGTGTGTTGACAGCTAAGCACTCCCTGTGGAGGTGGGTCTTATGGAGGTTCCCTGGGCAGCCTTGGGCGCAGTGCCCCCGGATGCTGAGTGCCTGGGGCAAGTCCTCCTGTGACTGCAGCTTCCAGCTGGTGTGCTCCCTGGGAGGCACAGGTGACAGCACAGGTGCTTGGGTCACTGCCACGCACCTGCAACACCTGGGGAGGGCCTGCCCGCTCAGCGCTGGCTGTTGTGGGCTTTGTGGAGTGAACCAGCAGATGGAAGGTCTCTTTTTCTTGCCTTTCAAATAAATTAATGTAGAGCCTGGCACAATGGCCTAGCAGCTAAAGTCCTCGCCTTCAATGCACCGGATCCCATATGGGCGGCAGTTCTAATCCCAGTGGCTCCACTTCCCATCCAGCTCCCTGCCTGTGGCCTGGGAAAGCAGTCGAGGACGGCCTGAGGCCTTGGGACCCTGCACCTGTGTGGGAGACCTGGAGGAGGTTCCTGGCTCCTGGCTTCGGATTGGCGCAGCACTGGCCGTTGTGGTCACCTGGGGAGTGAATCATCGGACGGAAGATCTTCCTCCGTGTTTCTCCTCTTCTCTGTATATCTGACTTTGTAATAAAAAATAAAAAATAAATCTTAAAAAAAAAGGGTGTGGGGAGGAGGCCTAAGACAGTAGCACCATCCTAAAAAGTATTATTTACTTAGAAGACACAAGTGGGCGGGGCAACATTGTGGTGCAGTGGACTCAGCTGCTCCCTGTGGTGCCGTTGTACCGTGTGAGATCCGGTTCAAGCCCTGGCAGCCCCCATTTCCTGGCTAGCTCTCTGAGGATACACCTGGGGGAAGCAACACAAGATGATATGGGGTCCTACCACCTCCATGGGAGACCCAGGTGGGGGTCCAGGCTCCCGGCTGGTCCGGCTGTTTGGGGAGTGAGCTAGTGGACAGCACATGTCCCCATTCCCCCTTTGTGTAACTCTGCCTTTCTAAGATTCCAGCCTTTTGCCTTCTAAGTGTGAGTACACAGCCCACGGGCAGTTGAGCAGCACCTCCCATCCCTAGGGGTCCCCGTAATTAATCTGAACCATACCTGTAGCCCTCCTTCCCTGGTGGAAAAATGCTCGGGTGTTCAAGACCCCCACGGAGCGGTCAGAGCCCCTCAGCGGCTGGCCCTCCTTGCCTCTGACCCTGCTCGGGTGCCCCCTTGCTTTGCCGTGCCCCCTGGCTTCCCGTGCCCCCTTGCTTTGCCGTGCCCCCCTGGCTTCCCGTGCACTGAGCCTTCGAGCTGTGGGATCCTGTGAATTTTGGGGAGCAGTGTGTCCACCCACCTCTGGCTTGCATATGCAGGTCGCATGGGTGAGCTGAGCTGCTCTGAATGTCGTGTTTTTAGGCTTCCAGGTGTTAGCGCCAGCGCCTCCAGTAGAAAGTCACTGGCTTGTAGGGCTGCCTTGCCCTGGGCCGGCCTCAGCACTCGGTGAATATAGCTTGTGCAAGCACCGACCCACTGTGCGTCCTCAGAGCTGCGGAGGGGCACTTTGCTTCCAGCGAACACGGTACATGGCAGAGGCTAACAGGAGCATGGAGGGGGCCAGGGCCACCCTGCCCGGCACTCAGTGGCCACAGCCACTCTCCACGAAGCGTAGGTTCATTCTCCTTTCTTTGTGTCTCCTTTCTTTGTCTCAGTTGTCAGTAACCTGCAGACTTGTACAGACTGCTTGAATCAGGTAACCCGGAAGGGGGCGCTCATGCTACTATTGTTCCTGACCCCTTTCCTGGTTAGAGTCTAGTGAGTACTACCCGGGCTGCCCAGTTTGCTGCTGTGGCAGGAGCCTCTCGGTACTGGACAGGACGGGGCAGGGCTGGCCGAGGCGACAGGCTCAGCCCAGGAACTCTGTGCGCTGTGGCTGTGAGCCAGTTTGGGCCTTTACCAGGCTCCACATGTGCAGAAGCCCTGGCCTATGCCAGGAAGTGACCTCAGGCCCCTGGAAGTAGGGCTCCTGAGAGGATAGCCTTCATGTTCTGGAAGGGGCCAGTTATCCCAGGTCATCCAGAAGCTTCTGGAAGTGTGCAGAAAGCCACGTGGGCAGGGAGCGTCGAGGCATGCCCCTGGCTGGCTTCTCAGAGTTTCTAGTGAGTCGTCGGTGCAGTTTGGCAGGAAGGTCCTGGGTGTGTGTGTGGGTGTAGGCCTGTGCAGACCCTCCCCAGGCCCACTGTCCTCCTTGCCAACTTCCTTCTCCTTGTCTCCTCCAGGTCCACATTGAGATCCACTGAAGGGCCTCCCCTGACTGACCGCGGCCGGACTGTGCACATGCACCTCGGAGCACCCAGCATGAAGGCCCCGAGAGGGATGCTAGGCACCTACCGAGCTGGCACTGTGGCAGAAAGAGGAGACCGCTGGGACAGACTGCTGCAGGGCCTGGACAGAACCCAGAAGCCGACCCGCAGGGACGGGACGTCCCGGAGCCAGGCCTCGGGGTTGGAGATGGAGCAGGCCCCGAGCCTCGCCGACCTCTTGTTCCTCCGTGGGCCGGCAGGAAGAGCCGCCGTCCGCGCAGCTGCAGGAGCGCCGGTGGCCGCCGAGACCGTGTGCGCCGGCGAGGCTCTGGAGTGGGGCTGGCCAGCAGGCTGCCCGGGGGGATGCTGCCCGGAGGAACCCCGGGGGCCCACGCTGCCAGGCGTCTTAGAGACTGGACCGCGGTGCGCTGTGGCCTGGCTGAGTGCAGGGAGCACCTCACACGGCGGGCGGGCAGCCCGAGGGCGCCCAAGCCCCGCGCCATTGGAGTTGGCACGTCCGGCCCACTGCCACAGTAGTTAAGGCGCGAGCAGACAATAAACAGTAGCGAGATTAATTTTACAGCCGTTTTAGGATGATTTCTTTCGCTTTAAGTCTGGGTGCCACAGCCTGACCTCTGGTCAGCCCCCTGCCTCGATTGGTTCGACCAGTCACAGAGAGCCCCCTCGCGTGGGTGCATGTGGGGGTGGCACCCGGGCATTCTCAGCGGTGAGATCTCCACGGTCGCCTCGAGAGGCTGGCACGGGTCACCCTGCGGAAGTGGACGTCTGTCAGAGCCACCCCCGGACTCGCGGGAAAGCATGGCTGAGCGCAGGCTGAGCGGCCATGGTGGTCTGCAGCAGAGCTGGCCCGTCCTGCTCGCACCCCAAGGGCCCCAGCACAGGCCCGGCGGCCCGGCCTGGTCACGGCCACCGTGTGGCCCTGGACAGACCCTGGGGCCGAGCAAGAGATTGTCCTGCAGCCGTGTCCCCGGCCCCAGGGACACAGCATCTTTCACACTAAGGTTCTTGCCTGTCGTGTTCGTGCATAACTTTTAGTAAAGGCCGTTGAAGGACGTGTGTTTTTAAGGACTCCCAGAGGGAGGGGAGTGAGCGCATACATCAGCTTCTAGTGTGTGCTGGAGTCTTAGCCGCACTGTGCTCTTGTAGTGTTTTTGGGAAAATGGACATTGAAATTGTTCTTTAGCATAATAAATACGTCTTATTTTAAAAGTGTCTTGGTTTTTTCCTTGTTTTTACTAATGCTGTCATCTTCCAGAGGTGGAGCAGCCTTGCAGTGCCTCGGCGGGGACTGGCCCTGGCGCCTGGGTGCACGGCTTGCAACATAGCAAGAAAGCTGAGGCACCAGCTCTGGCCTTGTTGGGCCCAGACCACCTCGATCCAGCCCAATCCGGCCAGGGCTGGGGTCCAGACCGCCTCGATCCGGCCCGATCCAGCCAGGGCTGGGGTCCAGACCACCTCGATCCAGCCGGGTTGAATCACAGAGGAACTGTGCTGCCTGTGGGAAAACAGGAACCACCTTGTCAAGCCCTCCTTCTACTTCCCCTTTTTTTTAAAAAAGCAAGTTTACTCCTTTGGGCTGAAACTTTCCCTGGCTCAGTAACTGTTGCATCTTCCTTGTTTTGTAAGTTATCAGTGACTTGGTATGCTGGGGCCTGTTCTCCTGTGGGTGCACTGACGGTTTTGTTCACTTTATCCCGAGGGTCCCTGCTCTGCGCATGGGGCCCTCTGCTGCAGTTTTTCTCTTTGGTGTTGTGTGGGGTTCCTGGCTGAGGAGCCCTCTCCTGTAGAAGGTTCCAGACAATAGGGAAATGATAGCCTAGGAGAGACTAGATGGATAATATGACATGGCATGGGGTGGAAGGGTGGATAACAAGTTAGCCCTCTGCTTGTGGCACCACCATCCCATAAGGGCTCTAGTTCATGTCTCGACCGCTCCACTTCCCTTCCAGCTCCCTGTGTGACCCGGGAAAGCAGTAGAGGACAGCCCAAAGCCTTGGGACCCTGCACCCGCGTGGGAGACCCGGACAAGTCTTGCTTGGCTCCATATCTTAGGGAGTGAACTAACAGATGAAGGATCTCTCTTCTCTATAAATCTGCCTTTCAAATAGAAACAAAATTTTTGATTTATTTTTATTGCAAAGTCAGATATACAGAGAGGAGAGACAAAAAGATCTTCTTTCCAATGATTCACTCCCCAAGTGAGCGCAATGGCTGGTACTGCCCTCCAAAGCCAGGAGCTCTTCCAGGTTTCCCATGCAGGTGCAGGGTCCCTAGGCTTTGGGCCATTTTCAGCTGCTTTCCCAGGCCACAAGCAGGGAGCTGGATGGGAAATGGGGCCGCCGGGATTAGAACTGGTGACCATATGGGATCCTGGCACATTCAAGGCGAGGACTTTAGCTGCTAGGCCACTGTGCTGGGCCCAATAAAAACAAATTTTAAACAAGAAAAAAAAGCTAGACCCAGACTCAAACCTAGATCCTCAAATGTGGCATAAGTCAGATATACAGAGAGGAGGAGAGACAGGAAGATCCTCTGTCTGATGATTCACTCCCCAAGTGAGCGCAACAGCCGATCCGAAGCCAGGATGCAGGAACTTCTTCCGGGTCTCCCACACGGGTGCAGGGTCCCAAAGCTTTGGGCCATCCTCGACTGCCTTCCCGGGCCACAGGCAGGGAGCTGGATGGGAAGTGGGGCCGCCGGGATCAGAACAGGCGCCCATATGGGATCCCCGGCTTGCAAGGCGAGGACCTTAACCACTGCACCACCGCGTCGGGCCCAAGATCATTATTATTATTATTATTATTATTTTTAAGAAAGATTTACAGGAAGAAACACACACATCCGTCTGCTGATTTGTCTCCTCAAGTGGCTGCAACAGCCAGAGCTGAGCTGATCCTAAGCCAGGGACTTCTTCCGGGTCTCCTATGTAGGTGTAGGGTCCAAGGCTTTGGGCCGTCCTCGACTGCTTTCCCAGGCCACAAGCAGGGAGCTGGATGGGAAGTGGAGCAGCCAGGGCACAAACTGGTGCCCATATGGGATCCCGGCGCATGCAAGGCGAGGACTTCAGCCACTAGGCTACCACACTGGCTCTAGAAAACGTTTTGTTTTGTTTTGTTTTTGCACCAGAAGAATCTTAATTCTACTTTTCGTGTACTTTTAGGAAAAAAAAAAATTACTTCTTTTGAAGTCAGAAATTGTATTTGTGGTCCAAAAGCAGGATGTAGGAGCCTCGTGGGGTCATCTCCCCCATGGGTTGGGGTCCAAGCTCTGGACCATCCTCCACTACTTTTCCCAGACCATAACCTGGAGCTGGACTGGGAGTGGAGCAGCCAGGGCTCAAACTGGTGTCAGATAAAGGGATGCTGTGTCTGGCAGTAGCTTAACTCTTTGTGTTACAATGCCAGCCTTTTGATTAAAAAAGAAAAAGTTGTGGGGCTGGCACCATGGCATAGTGAGCTAAGCCTCGATCTGTGGTGCTGGCATCTCACGGATGATGATTCGTGTTCTGACTGTTGCACTTCCCATCCAGCTCCCTGCTGGTGTGTCTGGGAAACCAGCCGAGGATGGCTGTCAAGTGCTTGGTCCCTGCAGCCCTTTGGGGGCCCTGAAGAAGGTCCTGGCTCCTGGCTTCACCCCAGCCCAAGCTCTGGCTCTGCAGCCCTTTGGGGGACCTGAAGAAGCTCCTGGCTCCTGGCTTTCAGCTCAGCCCAGCTCTGGCTCTGCGGCCTTCTGGGAGGCTGAACCAGCAGATGGAAAATTGCTCTGTGAATCTGCCTTTCAAAAAAAGAAGTTTAAAAAATATTTTTTGAAAGACACATCCCACTTGTTGGATTCACTTTCCAAGTGCCTGCAACAGTCAGCACTGGGCGAGCCCAAAGTCAGGAGAAGGGAACCCCGTCTGGGTCCCACGGGGGCGAGCAGGGACCCACACACCCCACGCCCTGGAGCCTGCTGCCTTCCGGGGCTTGCGGGAGCTAGAATCGAGCCAAGCCGGAGCTAGAGCCACAGGCGTCCCAAGTGGCACCTTGGTCGGCTGGGCCAAATGGCCATCCATTTTGTTGTGTGGATTGCTCCTCGTTTCCCCTGCCCCGAATGAGTGCTCAGGGGCTCTGGCGCTGCTACAACAAAGCGGGCGAGGCATTCGGCGCTTCTGACCGCTCCCCTGCTGTGTATTGCCGAGGGGACAGCTTTGGTGTCTGCAGACACCCGGATAAGTCTTGACCTTTGTGGGGATGTCCTGCCCCGGACACAGGTGGGACCTGTGACTCAAGCATAGGGGGAATGGTGTTCTTGTGTCCCCGCCCAAGACTTGCTGTGGAGACCCCCACATCTGTGTGTGGATGCACTTAGCAAAGAGGGGCCAGCTGTGTTCAGTGCAAGCACTTTGTTCTGTGTGTCGCAAGACCAAGCTGCGACATGCTGTTTTCCTGCCTGCGTCTTGTTGCCTGGGCGAGCCAAATTCTGCATGCAAGTTGGTAGGGAGTCCTCCAGCCACTGGTTTGTTCCCCAAATGCCAAAGCCAGGAGCCTGGAACTGCATCCAGGCCTCCCACGGGGGTTGCAGGAGACCAGGCGGTAGGACCAGCTTGCATTGCTTTCCCTGCACACCAGCAGGAAGCTGCGTGGGAAGTGGCGTAGCCGGGACTCAAACCCTCACCATCCCATGGCTGGATGCTAACCTCACAGGCAGTGGCATAGCCTACTGACCCCCGATTGAGAAGTGTTCAGTGTCTCTGTAGCAGGGAGATTCTACAAGAACAGCCTACCCAGCCACCTCTCTGGCCCTGATGCACTAACAAGACTGGATACCTGGGGCTGACTGACTTTACGAAGACTCCAAGGGCTGTGCACCCACTTAGGGCAATGCCCTTCTTGGGGGCAGCAGGAACACAGTGTCGGCTCCTGTGCGTGTGTGTGCGCGTGCACACGCGTGCTTGCATCTCAAAGCCTCGGCATCTACTTACACCGTGATTGGACGGAGGTTCCACCTTCTTAGTACTGTGTGGTTAAGGCCACTGGGGTCTAGAGCCTCGTGTCATTCCAGGGGAGATACCCCGACTCCAGCACGTGATCCAATCGCACTGCTGTTAAGCATGCGGCGTGCTCTGCTGCCTGCCTGTGTAGTTGTAATCCCTCCTCTGCCCCGGGTCTTGGGAGATAAAATCAGCTGTGAGATTCAGTTTCATTTTTAAAGATGTGTTTATTTGCTTCCGTCTGCCGGTTCACTCCTCAAATGGCCACAATGATCAGAGCTGAACTGATCTGAACTTGGGAGCCAGGAGCCTCTTCTGGGTCTCCCGAAGGGCTGCGGAGTCCCAAGCACTTGAGCCATCCTCTGCTGCTTTCCCAGGCCACAAGCAGCTGACTCCCTGTGACTCCAGCCTCCCGTGGGAGGCTGTGATTTGGCATTTGGACCATGTGCAAAGGGTGGAACTCTCAGAACTGACCTGGTAGGGTATGAACTTGTGTTCTGTACCGCTCACATTCTTTGGGGAGGTGTTTTATTCTATTAGTGATGGTGTTTACATGGTTGGTCAGGGTGGGAAGGGTCGAGGGTCAGGGGAGAGTGGGTGAGACCCTTGTTTATACATTTCCTTCTTCTGCCCCTATAAGGGGGAGAGGAGAATCCAAGAGGAATAACCACGCCCAGCCTCCCAGCCATTGCTTACCCGGGGATTGGGGAACTGCCACCGATGTCATCTGAGGGATCTGCCCATGTGTTCCATAGTCCTGAGATGCTGCTGAGATCACTGCTCCAAGGATGAGGAAATCTTTCCAAGGCCGATTGGCTGTCATAGTCCACCTCTGAGTCTCCACTGGCCC